ATGATTTTCTATTATTACTATTATTTTGTATGACTTGTAAGCTGAGCTAATTGATGCAAATATATAAAGAACTCTAACCTATTGTTAGTGATGTGTATTCATAACGAAATCAGATAATTATATCTTGTCCAAAAAAAGAAAGCAAGAAAAATATTTACTTATAACCATGTGAACGTTAAATTGTTAAAAACAATTAAAATCTAGTTTGTAAAACAATATCAGTAAAAAAAGATACATACATTTATTTCAAGTAATTATTGTTATTATAGAAATAATAAACAAAACATACTTAAAATCGGTTCCAAAAACCTTAATACTGAACTTTAATAATATACATATATATGTTTATATATGTAAAAGATACTTAAATTGAATGGCAAGTTAAAATACAATTTACAATACAAACAATAATATTCAATACTAAATAAAAACTTCCCCGCCCTATAAAGATTAAACAATAAAACTATGAAGACAAACAAATATTGAGTTATTCTCATTAATTATTTCATGTACAATTAAATAATGAAAATAATAATAAAAATATTTAAAATGTATGCTGAAAACTTTTTGTGTACGCATTATTTAAAAGGATAAGAAAAATATACGAAACATGCTTTTTTACTTTGTTTTGTCAATTTGACAAACGTATTCGAAATTTGCACACTGTCATAAGCTGCTGATTATGTCACCTTGTTTAGCAAAGACACAAACCAGAAGTGACACATACCCATCGAGAAGTTCTCAATGAAAAATTGTAATTAAATTTTGATCTCAACAGAATGTGGTACTCGAGGACTTTATATATTCATTTTATTTTGTATAATTTATTCAATAAACTTAAAGTAGTTTTTATATTGCTGCACAATAACCGACTAGAGTAAATTGATTTAAAACTAGAATTTGTAAAAAGTGGTGGAACTCTTAACGTATGCTGTTTGAGGTCCCAACTCCTTCTGCAATATTCGTTTTACGTACAATATAATTGCAGTAAATTGACTAGAATATCCCAAATTGGGACTTGTCAGTGCTCCTCTGCTTAGGCATGCAATAGTCCATCGCTCTGGCCTACCAGCTTTCCGAGCAGCGCCTTGTACAGCACGGACTCCGTGGAGATGCCCTCGCTTTGCAGGAATAGCAACGTTTCGCGTGCGCACATGGCGAAGCCCAATGCTTCGGCTTCACTGCGTCGATTTGGGACTGCGGGTTGAGCTGGAAAGTTGGCTGCCACTTCGGCATTTGCTTGCACTTCCTCATCGCTATCAAACGCCCCGGCCTCACGCTCGTCCAAATCATGTTCAAATGAATCCAGCTCTGACTGCAATTCCATGATCTTTTGCAGTGCCTCAAGCAAAATGCTATTGGGCGCATCGCCAGCTTGGATAGCTGGACTATGTGATTGCTGCGCTGGCGGTGTATTAGATCTGGAATCCTGTTCCAAGCGATGGCGTTTCTCGGCAGTTGACTCAGTGTCCACATCTTGCTGATGCTGCTGGTCCGATTTCTGAGTTCTAAGCTGATCTGCTCGTTTGCGTTTCATAATCAATTTTCCAGACATAGGGAATCCTCTTCTTCAGTTTTCGTCGTGTTCCGAATATATACTGTAGTTCGTTTTGTTCCGCGGCACAACCTTCGTTCACCTGGCGATCACAACAACTGAGCATCGAGCGTCGAATGCACCCCAGCCGAGCTGTTGCAGGGAGCGCGATCCTGAAAGCAACCCCAACCAGCAATAAGAGACAGGCGGACATTAAGGGATGTGCCCAGGCTGGAAATTAAAGGCAACCGAAAAATTGTTGCAGCTGTTTAAATTTGTCGGCCGCTGCCGGCAGCTGGAGCGGGAAGGCAACAGGATATAGGCAGGATATGTGCGCTGCAATCGAAAGCAACCCCTGACAATCTGCTCTCTAACTGCAGCGGCCTGCTATCTCGTCCAGTTCCCGCTCACCCTCGCCCAGTAATACTGTTGTCTCGTGGCCGTGCCTCTTTGTCGGCCATCCTCACTTTCGTCTACTCTACTCCCTTTCCCCGTTGCGCAGCGTAGCGCATTGGATATGTCGTTGCTAGCCATACCAAGCATTTGCAGCTGGCACGCTTCACAGCCATCTCTTCGATTCGATTTCGATGGCTACAGACTGCGCTTTGACCTGTCATTGTAATGATAAGTGCACACCCTATAAATACACTGCAAATCTAGATTCACATAACATTAAAATACTTATGCAACTCTATATTACTAAACGCATTATATAAGATCTCATCAATAGGATATAATTTTTCTTATACTAAGACTATCTCAATTAATATTTAGCTTAATTAAAAATTTTTCTGTTTTATTAACTTTATTTTATTTGAATATATTATTATATAACGGCATTATCAATCTAAAAATTATGAATGTCTTAAAAAACATAGGTACATTATGAGGAAAAATATTTTTGGTAAAATCTAATAATACATATTTTTTCAGTGTATTKTATAGCAAACAATATTAGAATAGCAAATTCATGTGTGTATGCACAACACAAAAGTTTTTTATTAGGAGCAACTAAATTTATGATTAGATCGTATGTATGATAGTTTAATACAGGGATATA